GCAATGACTTTTGGACCACATGGCGTATTACTCAAATATTATAATGTATACATATAGGTAATATCGACGTAACTCATTTTTACCAGTGAGACTTGAGCTGTGGCTAAAATGCAATCCTAGATACCCATGGTACTTTTCCATTTTGCTTAATTGTTTATGGGCATGTGTGTTGGAGTCCCGAATTTCTCGTCAACTTGCGGTGGTTGGTTGGCATTGTTCTTTTGTAAATTCAAAACCAGGAATCTGTACTGTCTTGAACACTTCTATTCATCTTACTAACATACTTCAGGATTCTTCTCATCATGTCTTCAGGTTTAGCACTCTGCCTTTTTTGCACTTATTTAGATAGTGTTACCCTAGTGTATATTCTTGTTTTATTTAAAGAATTTTGAGCTCTTCTCTTTTGGCGGCTACTTTTAGGCGGATGGATTGGATTTTGCAAGAATGTGGCTTAAATACTTCACTTTTGACTTTGCAAATTTATATTTGCTCTTTTTCATAACTTCTAAGAGCGACTAGAAATATAAGAACAAGTGATATCACATGAGTGCTTCTTCGTAGGCACCATGCTATCAAACAACACATTCCATATATGTATGGCAATCAATTTTTCCTCTGGCTCTGCCCCATGCAACCTGGCAACCACGAACTACGAAATAGAAACCTTTAACGTTTTAAGGTTGCAGAATTTATTTTCCAAACAAGCTTAGAATTTTTTACATGGTACTAGTAGCGGCGATTCTCTTGGCGGCTCGCGAGACCCCATTCTTTTTCGCTTCCCTGCTCACGAAAAAGGTGAGAGCGTCGTTATGTACCTGGTAGATGTAGCAGTGCCACGGTTGCTTGGCGTGCCACAACGCTTGCTCCAGGAACGCCGCCGCCTCCACAGCGTCAGTACGAGCACACCACACCACGTCCGCCGCCGGCTCCACGTATGCAGGCGAGGCCACGTATCCCAGGCTCTCGTACCCAGCCGGAGCTCTCGGCTTCCATATCGTCACTGGCTCGTATCCATCCTTCCAGTTCCTCCACACCTTTTGGAAAGTTTTCCCAACACGAGTGAGTTTAGAGTTTGGAAGAAAGTGAAGAGTTTTCATACCAGATCGAAGCCTGTTGGAAGAGCAAACATGCCATCGTTGTTGTTCTTGTAGGACACCGTCACCGTGGGTGGATTCGTGCCGTGGTATGCAATGTCTCCAATGGAGACATAGCTACGCAAAGAAAGACCAATAGTTAAAACTACACAACTTGATCCTTTTGAGTGCTAGCTCGCTTACCCGTCGGGAACAATCGGCCGCCATATAGTACATTGTACTCCACAGTCAGCTCCCTATACGATGGAAGAATTCAGGGCCTTCCAATTAGAAGAAAAAAGTGTTTTACGTACCGCTGACGAAAACGTTGTACAGCAAACACCCGAGTCCTGCTCGCTCTTCCAGATCTGCTCGAAGAGTATGACTTCTTTGGTTGTTATTCGTCCATCGCTTACAGAGGAGTCACTAGCCTCCTCGTCGGTGTCTTTCCTCCTGTCCGACGCGAGCGCACGCTTCGATGCTCTCGGGGTTGGCATTGATCTTGTCTGCTGCCATTTTCTCATCTGATAAATATAATAAAAAGCTCAGAAATAAACTTACGACCGCCTAGATCTTGTTTGAAATTACCTGTGACATAACCGTTTGTCTGTCAGGACCATACTTGTTCCACCTCGACCGGATGGAATCCAGGATTAGCTCCGTCGTACGCATGTCCGTACCCTCTGTTGAGCATTTGATAACTTGAGCGAAAGTTTTCGGATCGTTGCGAAGGTGTAGAACGACATAGCAGGTTGACTGCCCTCCTTTAGCTGTTTCTACAGATAGAAGTTCCATGTAAGGAATTTCCCATATAATTTTGCAAGGATTTGAGGGAGACACGTTGCGAATAGATTTGTACGAGCCTGGTTGCTGCAGCGACAGATAAACAACATTTCAGATTTTATGGCAGCAGTATTATGTGCGTACCGTGATCAAAATTATTCGACGATTTGTTATCAAAACCACTCGGTTTTCTGGCACGTCAAAGTGATCCTCATAGAAATCGCTCAGAGAAAATTTTGCCGGGTCTTTAAACACGACATTTTGCCCGAAGTTGTGGTCTTCGGCAAGTTGCAGCATTGCCTGATTACACTTACAATTAGAACACCGAACAAAAGGAAAGAACGACAGACGAAAAACACAAAACTCACCTGTCCCAGAGCAGCTCTCTCGTCATACGGTAGGAGCACACCGTCACTACGTATTGCTCTCGGCAAACGTACTCTTGTCAAGTTCCGTTCATGCGTGAACACTTCAAAACATCTTGTATAGCTTATGTTCACTCCATCCACGGTAAGAGCAATAAAGTCCAGCACACCACTGAGAGGCTGGAATACAAAACCCGTGAAAGCCTTCCCAATTCCTTGGAAGAAACCGACGAAACCATTTTCTCGAGCGCTGTTGCAAGGCTTCTTTACCACACCTGATAATCCAAAAGCAAAACCGCGTGCCAGTGCCTCGCCACCACGAAGTAAACCATCACCAACACCAGAGACATGCTTGAGCCGATCCTAGGGAAAAAATCCAAAAGTTAAAAGTGCACAAGAACGAACTAGAATGCAGCATCCGTACCTGTTTCAAACGAACTTGTTGAAACTTCTCATCCCGCGAGAGGTCTGCGGCACTCTTACTTAAAGTTTCGAGTGTAGAACTCGCAACACCAAACATATTGACACCTAGAAGAAGTTGAAGCGCTTGATGAACCAAGTCTTTGCGTATATGATTTAATACAGCCGTTGACACCTCGCTCTGTCTCATGTATCGGTTCTCCAATGTCACTCCAGAAAGATGGATCTATAAAACAATACGACCATCAGCCACAAGAAGGACAGAAAGACAAGAAAGGAAATACCGCCATCTTGCTCGTGTTTCCAGCTAATGATACCAAGGGGCTCCATATCCCGAGTACACCCCGAGGTCGCAAACCAGGCTCCGTTTGCAAAGTAACTCTTAGGTGAGCTTCTGAGATGTCGATTAAGCTGGGTCACAAAACAGTCTTAGAACAAATAAAAAAGTTGAGATATATACTTGGTTCTAATTTCCGGATCTGCTTCGACAGTTTGTGAATCCGAGGAAAGCGAATCCAGTTGAATGTTGTTGTACATTCCTATTGCTGTCCATATAACTGGTTCGTGTACGTTGATTCGCCAAGCTCTTTTCGTAACCTATAAAAGGTAGAAAAGATGATCATTCAATGCATCAATACGAGCTCGAGTCTTACCCAAAAGCCAACATACGGGTACACCTTTGTACCTTCTTCCTTGTCATTTAGAAGAATGACGGAAGCTTTTAAAACGTTTTCGTCCGATGAAAGTCCTCTACTGTCCGGTGCAAAAATAACCGGCGAGGCCGACAATATATTCTGATCGTCTAGTTGGAGATATTTAAAACGTACTTTGAATCTGCAACCAAAGTGAGATGTGAAATAAACTCAACTCCTTATTACCTTGTAGTGTTCTCTTGGAAACTGTTGAGAATGGAGAACTTAAAGTTTTCCATGTAGAGGTAAAATATTTCCTGCGGCCTTTGGTCGATGATAGAGAAACCCAGTTTCCCAATATCCAGGACAATCTTAAGTTGATCCGTTGCCTCCTTCGGTTGAAGCAACTGCTCATCCTCTACTGCTTCAGATGGCTCTTGTTGCTTCTCATCACTATCTGTGAGTTTTATCAGCTTAAACCCGTGAAGCACCAATCCTCGAATATGGACATCTAGCGTGCTTGTTTCTTCAAGTTTGTCAAGGTCATATTTATGAATCTTATCCTCAGGAACTCCCTCCGGCAGCAACTCTAAAATGTGTTGTCCACTCGGATGTTTTAAAGCAAAAGATCTGGTGCAGTTTGGATAAAGAAGTTCCCAATCATCACCAGAAGTTCCCAGCTGCCGAAACCGAAGCCTCTTTTGTCTCGTCCGATTTTCAATCCTGCCGATTCAGAAATATTCAACATCCTCGTAAAAGGCTGCAAAACGATACATACCGGTAAGGCCCTCGTAGTGATCCACGACGAAACACTAGCACAAACTTGGATCCTTCCTGATGACTACGAACCTCCACCCGTATAAAATACTTCTTCTTATCATCGCCTTGCACGTAAAAATGAATAGTTTCTTCTTGCTCAATTTTTATAGGATAAGACCACTGCGAAGACTCTGTGCGCACCTGTTCATACCCACGATTTATCACAGGGTGAAAGGCCGAATGCAATTAATTACCTGAAGCGACAACGTCTCACTTATAGAAGAAACTGGGAAGGCCGTCCTCCAGTCATATGAGTTGAGCTTGCAAGGCTCTTCTTGAGACGCTTGCTTCATGAATAGCTCAGCACCAAATCTATTGGTGAACGTGATGAACGGCCTTATCGTGACGACCTACGAAAGAGAAGGTTTATGACAGAAGACGAACCATTGCAAACATACCTTCGTGTGTGCAAATTTTATTGGACACAATGCTGTGGTTACCAAGAGCCTGAAATAACATTTCCCGTCGGTCGCGACTACTTCAACAGCGCCATCCTGTATCACAAAAACACGTATAACGGGAGCAGAAAGCAGCTAGCAAAAGGACATACCGATTTGTCAAGGTCTGCCAGGGGTGAGACAGCGCCAAAAGTATCTGAAGCGAGAGAGGCGGCCATGCCACTGGACTTCGGAGTAAACGGAGAGATCATTGTGAACGGGCTCCGCAGCTCACTGTATGGGATGTCATCCAAAACTTCTTCACTCGTAGAAGAGACTGTACTAGGCAGACAACCCGTGCTCGATCGACTATCAATGTCCACAACTTTAAGCCGCAGCGGTGGGCATCTAGCACAGTCAATCCAGAATGGCACGGAGATTCGTAACACTTTTCCTGTCACCTCCTCTTCGTAGTCATATTCAATATGAACTTTGATCTTCCTGTAGAATTACGTTGTTGCAAAGATGATTTGATTTAAACTAGCTGTAACACTTGCCTTTTAGTAGATAAGTTCTCCAGGATCATGTCCTTCGCGACATCCCAGAAAGGATGTGAAATCAAGACCAAGTCCTGCAGGAGGAGCAACGACAACGTTAACACAGTACTATCCTGCCTCGTTAAACCTGACCTTTGTTGGATGCCAGGAGCCTTCTGGAACGAACGACAAATACACCGGTCTTCTCACATCAGCGTTGTAAATTTCCGCTACCTCACCCGATAAGACCACTCCTTTATCTTGCATTCGGTAACCTCTGATACGCGAGGAGTCATGCACTGAGTACTCAGCTGATACTGGGAGATGGTTGACAATCTTCAATGGAGCACTGAGCATCAGCTGACAGTCTCGTACAGGTCCAATATATGCATCCTTTCCAATGTCGGTGTAGTTGACGTCCAAGCAGAACCACATACTTCTTGCAGCTGCTCCCGCACTGGCAGCTTCCAAGAGGCAGCTGGAAAGGAACTGATCCGTGAGCAAAGAGCGAACGTTGATATCTTGTGCAGGCAGTTTTTTCTGGCCTCGTGTCTGACATAAAACTGCCTGAGTCCAACCATATCCGTCAAACTGTGGCCTTAGTTGCAAAGAGTAATCCTGCCTCGCCTCTCGGAAACATGCTAAAGGCATCCCAATCACTTCGCCGGGTTTAATTGACCCCAATATGCATCGAGAGCTTTCCAAGCTCGAAGTCCGTTCTCTCGTACGTAACCATCGTCGCCTTCGTACAAAATTGAGTTTGCCAACGTAGTTTCCTCCAGGAAAATCTGTCAGCGCTTGGAAACTGAAGCCATGGACCCATCCGTCCGGATCCAACACTGAAGTATCTACAAACCAATCACTACTCCATTCCCAGCCCAAAGGAAGCTCGACTTGTGGAAACTCCTGAAGAAAATTCAAAGTCAGAAAAGTGGAAGAGCAAACAATAGATATCGATACTTAACTTGAGAAGATCCTGAAAGGTCCCTCTTGCTCCACCGTCCGGGATCCAACGGCAAAAGATGTCCCGGCCATGAACTTCCCCAACCAAGCATTGGTTGAAATCGCTCATTCTCAAATACTTCTTCAGATATTGTATCATTCTCCTGAGAATCTTGGTTGGCAGAATGCGGGAAGAGCGATACTTCCATGGTAACGGAGGTGTTGTTTTGAAGTCTAACCAGGGACCTTACTGTGAGATGCTTCACTCCACCAATAACTCCAAGTTCACTTGCAGCAGCTTCGCTTCCAATTTTCAGGTAGGAACTTCTCGAAGCAAGAGTCAGGCACAGTTTAGTCCAAGGACCGTCTGGAGAAGATCCGACTTGAATTGTTCCCGGATCAAGGCCAGTCCTTTCTACGTTTCGCAGATTACTATCCTGGAGGCTCCTTGCCATGGAGTGAAACTTATACGCAAATCGAATTTTCCCAACAGGATTATGATGATTGACCTGAACAGTCATTGCAGACGAGAAAGAAAATGGCAAAAACGATATTTACCTGGTCCGCGGCTCCAGCAAAAAGATCGGTTTCCAGAGTGCCAGCGTAAAGTTTTAGCTCTCGCAGTGAAGCTATACAGCAATAACCCGCTGGTGCACCTTATATAATAAAAACGAAGGCAACGTAAGCTCCACAGAACCAGGATTGTCTTACCTTTCGATAGATCCGTGACTAAAGCCTCCATACTATACGCTTGCTGCAAGGATTTGAATGAAAAATGCTTAGCATAAACGTGATACTTGCAAAACTTACCACATTTTCAATTGCAAAACTGAACACCTCATTCCATAAGAGAGAAACTCTATCGCCATCAGGACCAGTCTTACCACTGGGATTCACACACCTCGTGCGAGCACTTTGATACTGAAACTGGTGCTGCTCAGCGGTCTTCAACTGCGGCAGCAGACGGACAGCGACCATGTATTGTCTACCACCGAATCCATCGTCTTTCGGTACCTGTGATCGGACAGTGGAGCTAAAAAACATTTGTAAAAACAACAGCAACTATACCTCAGCGTCACATAGCGCCAACGTCAAGACTGTCACGGACTTCCGTCTGACAGATTCGTTGGTGAATGGGTCCTGCAAACTCATGACACTCGGTGTTCTGAAAGTTTCAGATTCTCCCGATTCGATTGGCGTTATTTTTATACTGGAGTCTTCATCCAAATGTCGGCAATAGAACCTCTGGCCAAGGTCGTTATGACATACAATCTGAAGTTTTCTTTCCTGCACAGTTTGCTTCCTGGCTCCACCCCGTCCCTAGCAACAATCATGTGAGTCTGACCCTGCGTATACTACAAAATACCTTGGGTGCCGCGTCCATGCTAACAAGCTTATTCCAGCTTGAGTATGCGTCTAGCAACATGTTGAGGTTTGCGGTCGAAACATTGATATTTAAGTCGCTTGTCGCTGCTACACTCACTTGCGACTGACTGGAGCACAAAGATGTAGATTCCTTCGTATATCTGAATAAGAAAGACATTAGCCAAATCCCAAACAAATACAAACTTACTTACCTCACATAGCCTTCCGTCTGCTCAACCAGAGGCTCCCAAGCGTCACACCGTCCATTGTAAGAAGTAGCAACCATCGAAAAATGTGCAGTAGATTCCATTGCATCAGGTGTTCCGTGCACGCTACCGGTTAATCCGTTCAGTGAAACATTGACAAGAGGTGCTACCTGTAAAATACAAAACGTAAGATAAAAAAACAGGTGAAGCCTACCGTTACCATTCCGCCAAAATCATCAAATATAGTCGCGGAGACTCGTCGAATTTCGCCATCACCGACTAAATTGTCAGTATTACTTTGATTTCCAATGTCCTTAAGCTTAAAAGCCAACTGCTTTGGAGGCGCTTCTTGAGTGATATTAGTAACAAAAGTCGCCGCCTTAGACTGTCAAGATACACATTAGAAGTAGAAGGCTTTTGCAACCATTTTTTACCTCGTGGTCCATAGTTTGCAAAGGCCAGATGCTTATGTCGTCGTTCAATCGCTTTACTTGTCTACCGTCCCACAAGCTGGGCGAAGAAAACTCCGTCTCAAGTACAAAGTCGTTGCGAACACAGCGAATTTTGTCACTAGCCTCAGCATCTAGAGTGTAGCCTCGAATTGCTAGACAGCCGAGAGCTGCATACCCGGGAGGGGCCACAGGAAACCAAAAGGTTACAGGCTTCAGTCCCTTCTTTTCGTGAATAACACCCATCTTCACAAACTTCAGCGGCTTTTGTAGTAAGACATTATCCTGAGTGTCTTGAAGGGTGAAAGCCACACTTGGTGGTTCATACCTACAAAAAAGAAAAAGAACTGTCAAACGCTTTTTAAAATAAAAAGGAGAGTCCCATACCCTTCAACTGCTATGTCGCCAAGGATTACGCATCTCGAAGGTGTTACTGGCCTCCAGATGGAAACACTCTTCTTTGACTTGGCACCTTTATCCCACCATATGAGCTTGAAACGAGTAACAGTGGTAAGAAGTACACCGTTGTCTTCATCAGATGAACGAGCACTTTCGCCGCTTGTCTTTGTAGTGCCAAAACGATCTTCGGCTTTTTCAAGTTCGAAAGCAACGTGCCGGAGCTCGTAGATTCTAGAGCTATGAGGTTTCCTGAGCGCAGAAATGGGGAAGAAAGACGCGCTCGAATTATCAGCGCGCCAAAATGCCCACTCCTGCTCAGTAGTGCCGTTCACCTGGATGCAGTCCCTCATGTACCATTCCGTGACAAGCTGCTTGAGCACGCACAGTGTTGGACTTGCCGACGGAGGACTTCGTCCGATTGATGCTACGCAACCCAAAACAACGTAGCCTTCGGGTGCTATAGGCAGCCACACACAGCACTGCTCACTGTCATCTTCATTTGCGGACGAGGACCAGACGAGTCGAAAGTCTACCGGCTTCTTGAGATGCACAAGGTTCATATTCATCGCAATCACGCCTTTGGAAGGCGGCTCATCCCTGTAAAGGAGTTGCATGAGCAAGGATTAAAATACACGAAAACAGAGTACTTACACAACAGTCAAGCAATCACCAAGAACAGTAAAGCCTGGAGGTGCGCGCGGTCGCCAGAACGTTATCTGGGAAGAGCCACTTCTTACTGCTTAAAAAACATCTAAGTCCAATGTTGATGGAACTTAAAGATACTACCTTCATCGGCCCATATCCTGTCGAACTCAGTACATTCGACAGCAATCTTTTTCGAAGTAAGTAGTATTAGAGATTGTGCATCCTCTTGTAGTTTAAGGATAAGCTGAATCATACTGAAGGTCAAGTTGCAAACCACGTCCGACATTGTCGCGTGCAGATTTTGCTTCGTGGACACCTTTGAGTACCGGCAATTGGTGTCTACAGGTTCCAAAACATAAATTCCCCTCCGACCTTGAATACAAAAGTTGTTGGCTTTTGCAGATACTTCGAGATCGTCTCCTTTCATTACAAGCCTTGAAAAAAAATAAAAAGAAAAATAAAAATAAAAATATGAGAGACAGAAATAACAGGAATTCTCTACCTCGAAAAGATATCCATTTTCGCAAAGAGCAGCTGATCTTTAATATCTGAAGAACTGCCTCCAGACGTATGCATCACAAGTTCTGGGCCTATTGCCTACAAAAAATCATGAGAAGAGAATACGTGATGATTTAGACATACCTGTAAGTCGAAAGTGAGTTCAGCCTTTGTTGACGTGTTGTTTTTCTTGTTGGCACTTTCATCATCACCTTCTGGAGGTTGCTCGTCCTTCCATTCAAAAAAGACGCCATCATGTTTGGAAGCGGAGTACGAGCTGTTGCTACCCAGCAAGACGAAGCGATCCAGACAGCGGGCATTCTGTAAAGAGATGGTGTTAGAATAGTAGAAAATCAACAAGCCACGCGAGAGCTTACCTCAATAACCACGTTCCTAAACCGAAGTGACTTTCCATGGCCGACTACGACAAGAGGCCCTTCAAAAGAATCGCCTACAGGATCTCCGCTAGCGTCTGTCAACCGGATACGACCGCCTCCTCCGTCATAAATATAAATCTCAATATTCTCGTCGTCTGCCACAAGAGCATGCTTCGGTGACAAGGTAACCTCGTCAGAATCTTGAAAGTACGGAGATTTGTGCAGGAACAGCCAGTTCTTCATGTCGAAAGGAAGCTCGTCATTGCCTCCGGTATTGCTCCCTAGTACGTCAGCAATGGAAGGAATAAAGAACTCCGCAACAGCCAGGAGAAAATCTAAAGCCAATAAAACTCGAGGTCGTTGTATCCGCAAAGTGATCATTTGGGAAGCTGGATTTAGTTTGGCGTCCAAGACCAGCATCACAAGACGCGAACCTTCAATTTCGTCTCTGTTCAGTAGGTTTGAATCATCACTAGCCATTCCAACCATAAACTTTAGCTCCGGCTCTATGCCTTCACGATCATCAGAAACGTTCAGAAAATCAAGGCTGGCCATGATATATTGTTCCTCATTACTGGACATCTTATAAGCTGCCCAGACACCACTAACCTGTAATAGCTTTTGTTACATAAAACAGAAAAGATGTCGAAAGTACCTGTATGCTGGCTAGTGGCGTATATTGCGTTCTTCCAATGAATACAGCCAGCTCTATTATGGAGACGTCGACCGTCAGCTTGAGAGTTGTCCAGACCTCCGAGGAATTGCTCGCAGATGTGCTACCTTCTTGCACATCTTTCGTTTCAGTATGTGGAGCCTCCTCCTTCTCCTCCTCTTTCTGCTCCTCTTTCTGCTCCTCTTTCTCCTCCTCTTTCTCCTCCGCTTTCTCCTTCCCTTTTCCTGGCTGGCATACAGGAGGTGACAGATTTGGTGCTTCAGATAGATTACTGGTACAACAGTCTATCATAAGCTGGTACTCCTTGTCTGACATTGCTGCTTTCAGCAGTTGAACCTGAACTCACGGTTAAGGACTCATACAAAGAAAACAAACATACCTCGACTGATGCATCAATCGCTGGGAGCTGTCGCCTGAGGTCGCGCAAGGTCCTTCTCACAGTCACAACCAGGCCACTAGAGTCTTTGATGATATTTTCTCCAAATTTTCCATTCATAGACACCACGAGATGGATGTTTTCAACCTGCAAATAGGAAAGTGATGACTTTTGAGCTTGTCAATAACTATCATACCTTTAGAGAAATAAGTTCCAAACGAATGCCTCCTATGTCTTCTTTTCCTCCTCCTAGCCACTGGAACGTATTTATTACATGGATATGAAGTACATCCAGCTCCAAAAAACTGAACGAGTACAACAGTTGAGCTGAGCAGAACATTCAAAAGAATTAAAAAATACCTATTGCTGTTGGTGTCTTTGGGAAAAATCACGATAGGTTTGTTCAGCGATAAGTCAAGCTTCATAGCTGGCGCTCCTTGAACCTCAGATTGCGTGAACGTTTTCTCAGCGTCACCAACTTTATCTTTCAGTTTTACTATATATCCAGGATCGGCAGGAACAAGGCCCAAAAAATAAGACGATATCTGCAGATTGTACAAGTATGACCTTGGATCAGAAAGAACAAATCTGAGCACCTACTTCTTGGATAAACCGATGAAGATATACAACACGAACTTCAGAAAGCTGTCCAGAAAGACTAAACTCGTAGCCCTCGTAATCGTCATCGTCTTCATTGAACGAAACGAATTCCAACTGCGAGAACTCCGAAATCAACAAACACATGTTGCTTAACCTACACGTACCTCAACAAATGATTTCCCTGCTGGATCACGCATGTCAACCAACCAATAATAGGGATGTCCTCCTTTGAGACTGTCATCAGTAATTCGAAGGTTTCCAAGCGTAGCAACAATTGCATAAGATGCGGGAAAAATCTGCAGTTATTAAAGTGAGCCTTTGCATGCAACAAAACCGTTCGTACCTTCACAGTTACGTGAAGATGTTCTTGAGACAACGTAGCCAGCTGATGCCCGTCATCACGATTCAAAACTAGTTGAGCACGATCCATATCCAGAATAAGCAAAAACACCACACGAACTTTTCCTGTGCCAAGTAAACCTTTCACCACCGAGTCCTTTCTATCAAACATTGGAACAGATCCACTTTGATGAACGTCTGCTGGAGTTATAAGACTGACGACGTCTTTAGAATCGCCCGGCTCAGACTGTGGAGTGTCGGATTTTGGTTCCACAGAAGTGGTTATAGCAGTAACAAAATCCATAAGGGCAACCAGCGTTGGTCGATTAAGATAAAATGCAAGAGTTGCTAATGATACTTTCACCTGTAACATACATAAATAACCAAATTGTGAGCTGCTTAACACAGATGTGTACCTGCTTATCGATGTTGCTGTAAGATGTAGCTTCAGGGGCGCTGAGAATCACTTGAGCTTTGATAAAACTTTTCAGCTCCTGATCACGTCCAAAAGTTAGTTGGTCCTCTAGAGGAGGAAGCAAATCAGGAGTTCTGACGAACTCGCTTCTTTTCTCGTGAAAGCTAGAATCCGCATCATAAAACTGTGAAGAAGAACGCCTTGAGAGAACACTTTTACCAGAACCGTCCTCTTGCGATGTCTTTTCGAAATCGAACTCATCGGAACTGTCAAAGAATCTCTCAGCTGGCGAATTTTCTCTGGCAATGCTCTCTTTCTGCGGATTGTTCAGTTCTGACTCCGATATGGTTGACCGAGCAAGATAACGGCATGACGGTGACGTTTGTCCATACCATCTGTCCTCGATTTCGAGAGAGAGTAAAGCCGCACCAACTGCCATATCGTTGTCCCTCATAAGAAACTCCACCTTTACATAACCATGTACTCTGTCAGTAAATGACGTACACTAGAAAGCGTAACATGCCACTTGCCTTGCTTCCGATAGCTCGCAGTTCGAGTAAAGATCCTTCTTCTCCCAATAGAACTTGTTCCCGATCACTATGCCCCTGAAAGTTACAAACTATGAGAATCAGCTAAAAACACGTAGTTTCTCACGTACCGTTTTGGTACTAGCAATACAGATCTTCAACTCATCCAACGTCCCAGTTAAAAACAGTTTTTCTTTTTCCCCAGCAGGTCCAACAGGAGAGACATTCTTATCTTTGGAATCTTTGCCTGCTGTTCCGCGAACCACAGCCTGCGAGCTCTGATGAACATTGTAGCAAACTGTCCTTTTAAGAAACAGTAAAAAGAAAAAAAGAAACGTACATTTAGCTTACGAATGATAGCCATAAAATGTGCCCGCCAGTTTTCTAGAGTATCCTCGTCCTTGAATCGTAATATCACAGCACTTACAGACTCTACCACCTGCAAAGTGCTTCTCAGTTGTGATGAACTACTACGTAATCGTACCTACCTTTTTACTAAATTGTTCCGGATCGCATAATGCAAGCACGTGTGCAATACCTCCCACTGATTCAGGTGGAATCAGATATACTTGCTTGCCGAACAGGCTGAAAATTACAAACCGTAATTACAAACAAAATTATAAAGAAAGTATCATTGTTAGCAAGCTTACCTCACGCAGTGCTCATATGATTCAGAGGACACAGATTCCAAAATATAGAAAGAAGGCGCCGCTATAACTCCGTAACGATGATTCCAAACGGCCTCCCTGTTTCCCATACCCTGGACACAGATAACACTGAAGGATCACTCATAGGTGTTAATAACAAGTACCTTCCAAGCAAGAACAGTAAGATCTCCTTCAAAATCGGCTGGCTCCCAGGGACGAACCGATACATCTGTAGAACCGCCTTGTAACAGTTCCACAACTTGCATAAGCCTATGATATCTAGCAGGAGAAAAATGTACAGCCACAGAAGGCACTCGCACGGCCACTCGTGTAGATGGGTATGAAGGATGAGGAACACATATCTGAAAAGAGAAAAGGAAACTTTGAAGGTCTTTACGAGCACGAAGACTTTACCTGCTGCAGCAAGGCAAAAACGGCACATTTCTCAATTACGGGCAGAACTCCTGAATCTTTGGAAGAGTGAACCGCATCCCAATCGCAGTCGCCGTCAACCAAAAAGCCAGACACGTCGTTTAGCTGCATTTTGAAGCACATGTACATCTCACTCTCCTCCTGGGAAATTCGTTGCTCTTCACCCTGTGTGAAGATTTTTAGATTCAGATTCAATCATATAACAAGAGCAATACCCGTTCCGTCTTCATTTTGAAATGCCCCAAATCAAGCATGAGTTTAGTCCGCTGTGAGTTTTTTGGATAAAAATCTGTTGGAATGGTGACTTTGGGAGCAGCTATGTCCAAAAATAATGAGAACCTGCAACAAGTATATAACAGCTAGTTCAAATAAATTTGCCTCTACCTGGGACGATTTTTTAAAGCCTCATTGAATTGCTGTTGCGTTTTCCTTGTAACTTCGTCCAAAGTCATCTTCAAAAGTAGAGACAAGAGTAAGCAAAGCCGAAACCACTAAAGTCATTCTCTTACCTGAAATGCCGCAGCCGTCTGTATTGCAACTTCACGGCTTACAGATGTCCTGCTACTGAAAAACGCAATGACCCTGTCGATGCTTGCTTTGTGGTACTGCAGAAAAAGATAGATAGTACGCAAATCTTACACTAATGCTGTGAGACTCACCGTAATATAGCAAGGAGAGGCTCCTGCAGACAGACTCCAGTCAAGATCCTCATTCACTGGAGCTAACGAAAATGTGGCACTCAGAGCATCAAGATGACTGGCACTCTAGAGAGGAAAACAGTAAGGAAGTATGACAGAAAAAGAGCGTAACTGTACCTCCGCAAGTAATCCTTCGGGACAACAGATTTTGTACGACTCGAGTTTGAGATCGAAGTCTTTGGCTTCGGAATAAAGCCTGATACTACTTTGTAGCCCTTCGCAAGACAGGGTTAGAAGCTCCTCTTCGTTTTCCGAAATGAGTTTCGACGCGTTGTAATGCATTTGAACTTGCAAAACCGTATGCAGCATATTTGGTGCGTCCTGACCCGGCATCAAGGTCGACGGCTTGCCTTCTTGATAGCCAATAGCTTGATTCAATTGCTGCCATTCGTCATCGGAGAGGCCTCTTGGTTCACCGCCCCCATCAGATTGGCCACCCCTGAGAAAAAACGTCGAACGATTGATCACGTCACCAGAAGAGTACGTCGACCTTACCATCCGAACGGCCACCATCTTTTTTTAGCTTGTTCTTTCTCATGCTCAGCATTCTCTCTTCTAGCTTGATCTGCCAGTGTATGCGCAATAGTTCTGAAAAATAATGGTAAGAGCAACAAAAGGAGAAATTAATAACTAAATAAAATCGTATCCACCTCCATTGAACAATAACATCCTTGTTGAGACTTGATTCAAGCTGTCTGATCCCATCATCATCATTGATTGAAATACGATCGGGATTTGCCAGCAAACATTTTGCATAGCTAGACAGGTACTGTTTCCGCATACGTGCATGGTGTAAAAGCTGATCCCAGCTCAAATGGCCACTGCAAACCTCCCATCAGAGCTTGCCAAAACATAAAGATGTTAAAATACCTGGCCTTCCTGTTCTTTTCTATTGTAGCTTTAATGGCATATTGCCACCAAGCTGCTGGATCTTCTGCAACTGTAACTTTTGGGCGGTAATGTGCATGTTCTACACGCATGTTGAACGTCGAAATGTTGTCGAAAAGCGTCAATACATCCCGATATTGGGGCTGTTTAACAATGCTGGTTAGCTTGCATATTAAAAAAAAATGTTACCTCTGAAAGACAAAGTGTAACATTTTCAAGCACGACTGCTGCAGTTTGAGCAGGTTTGTCCGCACTTCTTTCGTCACGTGTGCCTAGTTTACTGTACCGTGCCATGCCATCCACGGGCTGTAAGAGAAACGCGTGGTGGACTTTCTCAGCATCCTCGCGAACACCAGGTTCAAATGCCTGATAGTAAACGTCAAGCATACGTCCAAAAACAAAAACTACAAACATGCCTTGCTCCAGCCTTCAGGCGAAAGATTTTCAAAGTCCAAGTCCCATGGTTTCGACTTGCAATCGAAATAAAATGCTAGCCTTTTCAGCTCACCGGACTGCTCAGCGGCCAACATTAACGAAATATGGACACAAGAAAATTCAAATCTCTACCTTGTTGATTTTATCTAACGCGCCCCCGGAGACAAATAGCTCTTTCCCATTGTCATCAACAGTAACAGCAGCAAGTTTTTCCAGAGTAACTCCAATGGCAAATGGCTGCTCAGGATTGCTAAAGAAGAAACGAATCAGGAGAAAAGTTCGAGAAAAATCCAACGTACCTTTCAGTGTCCTCAAATCTGATGTGAATGTTTGTAACAGAAAGCTTTATATTGGAAATTATAGTTCCAATCAACGATCCCAGCCAAGAGTTATTCTAGAGTGGAAAACAAAAAAGATTCAGTACAGTAAACCATTACCAAGCTACTCAAGGTACGCACCATCTCGGTCTGTTGCTGCTGCCCTTGGTCTTGCGTAGAAGTGACAAGAGCGGTTTCATGTTCCTACAGCGATGACGAGAAAATTAAGGTCCAGATTTAGAGAAAGAGAAAAGGCAAAACGCTTGCCTTGATATACTGATATCTGGCTTCTTCAACCGCATCGTCATCAGCACCTTCGACTTTGAATGAAGGCTCCGCCAGCACAAATATGCGATCAAGAGTCACAATAACAGGCTCTTGTCCCAGCCGGCTCCACGGAACTTTCAATTTTACGGATCCCAGAAATCCAGCTTTGACTTTAATGGGGAGCTTCAATTCCAGTAAAGCTTCCGGTTTGAGCTGCATATTCGTGAGCTCCACATTTCCTGAGAAATCTCAAAGTCAAAAGAGGAAACCAAAAAGAAAACGGAGTACCTTGCCATGCACTGATCTTCAAGGCCTCCTTGGAGACCCCTTTGACGTACTTCCCCAAATACTTTTGGAGATAGAACGCAACGTAGTCCTCCAACATGGTTGCAGCACCAAAGCGATTGCTCTCTAGCTAGCCCACATTACCTCCGATCAAGCGATCGTTCATCGACTAAATCTCTGCCAAAGCGATCGCCTCCTGCGATCGATTCGACTCGATAGCGCTCCAATAGGTCAAAATTTGAGCTGCGCATTCCAGCTCAATGCAAGCACTCTGGCAGCTACACATATGCCAAACCTAATCTAGAAGCAAAGCCCCCTCCCTGGACGATAAACACATAAGGCAAAATCCTCAATGAACGGCACGGCCACGTAATACAAGTGACCGGCTGGTGGAGGTGGAGCGACCGCCACGGGGCACGTCCTCCACGTGGCGGCTCAACAGCAACTTGGCATCTACCGTCATGCTGACGGAATATCCGTGGCACCGGTTTTAAGTGTAAGATAACAGATACCCAGTTAACAGACTACCTTTACAGTTTCCCCGCCATTTATAACAAGGGAGAGAAGAGGGAGAGAGCTATGGCGAGTGTCACTCGCGAATCACACTCTTAGCAGCAGCAGCGTCACATTTCGTGCGCCATTGCTGGGGATAGATTCGCGGGGGCGCTCATTCTTTCAGTGTTGGGCTTATAGGGTTTTTGAGGAGGTCGGGATTTTCTGGCGGCCAGGAGCGCGGCAGGAGCTAGCGCAATGAGTTCTTGCTGCTGAGCGCCCGGAATCGGCAGCGATTTCTTTGCGACTACGGCGAAGAATTCGTCACGGGGATGGGTATGTGTGTTTTCGCGCCCTAACTTTTGGTTTTTTTTTTCTCGGTGAAGCTCAAGTTTGGTGTGTGTATGCTCCAGGATCTACTAAGAAAGGGATCAATAATTCTGGTTTTAAGACAGCTACGAGAAGTAGCACGAGGATCTCCGTGGACGATGTGATGAACTTGCGCCCGCGCAATGGTGAGAACGCTACTTTCCATCAAGGTAAGCTCGATTGTCATACAAGATCTTTGGCTTACTTTGTTTTCCTTGTCAGGCGATCAAAGTCAGTTCTACGGAGGATCCGATCTTCCATGCAATAACAATCTTTCGCCAAGTACGTCCGGACGGTTTGCTGGTCCATCAGTCTCGATGGACAGTGGAAGCATGGGATCTCCTTCCCGATGCAGCGACGTTGCAATGTTTACTCCCGGATCAAATGAAGCCACCGGGAGGTTTTCACAAGCCGAGAGCTATGACGAGCCAGCTTCTCCAGACATGGTCGGGTATGTTAGCTTTGAGTCTTTTTTTCTCTCGAACCACTGAGGAATCACGTAAGACAGTAGAAAGAAGAAGCGTGGGCATCGTGCAGCGATTGGGGGAGAGAAAGGAGGCAAGGGATTGCGGCATTTTAGCATGAAAGGTAAAGCATCGATCTCTTATCGTTCCGAACGTATCACTGCAATGCTCCGCTATTCTTTCAGTTTGTGAGAAAGTCGAAAGCAAAGGCCGTACGACTTATAACGAAGTAAGCTTTCATCTCCTGTGTGTTTCTTTTTGTAAATTTCTGACACGGTGATCCGTCAGGTGGCCGACGAGCTTGTAGCCGAGTTCACAAATCCAAATGGTCTAGTCGGCTCTCCGGACCAGGTGAAGCTTTCTTAAGCCAGTTTTTGCCAGTTTCTTACTGATGTTTTGGCTCTAATTTATCTCTCTTTACATTAGCAGTACGATGAAAAAAACATCAGAAGACGTGTGTACGATGCTCTGAACGTTCTTATGGCCATGGACATTATATCCAAAGAAAAGAAGGAGATCCAATGGAAAGGGCTCCCAAGCACCAGTTTCACCGATGCCGAGCAGCTGAAGGTAGGTTCCCATGCGGTTTTTCGATTAAGTTGAAGTAGTTTTATGACCTACAGTTCGTGCAGGAAGAACAGCTGCGCGTCCGCTCGAGGATAGAAAAGAAGAAGAAGTATCTACAGGAGCTGCAAGATCAGGTCCGCGGATTTTTCTGATTTATTTCTGGCTCACTGTCCTGACGTTAAAACTTTGTGGAAGATCGTAGGCATTCAAAATCTCATTCATCGGAATGAGAGAATGTACAACGGCACTGGGAACTTTCCTGCTGGAGGCGTTGCATTGCCTTTCATTCTTGTACAGGTAAGAGTTTTCTCTTCCCAGCGATGCTGTTTAAATGCTGACTCGCCCCTACAGACTCGACCCCAAGCAACCGTTGAAGTCGAGATATCCGAAGACATGCAAGTAGTTCACTTCGATTTCAACAGGTACCAAATAGCTTTGTCTTTTCTCGCGACTACAATCAACTTTCTCTGTTCCAGCTCGCCATTCGAGCTCCACGACGACGCCTCCATCCTCAAAGCCATGAATTTCTGCGACCCGGGGTCCAAGCCTGGCGGGGGATCCAAGCACGAGAATGGAGGCTTCGACGCGAGCCCGATGGACGATGGCTCCTCCCCTCTGCCGAGCATGTATCACCACCACCACCACCACGGCCGGTCCCCCCGGATGATGAAAAATGGCCTCTCGCCGCCGCCACTGCCAGGAATTCTCAAGGCCCGCGTCAAACAGGAGCACTAAGTACCGAGGGAAAAAACATCATCACCCAAGAACGTTTTTTGCAATAAGAGGTTGCAAGAGATTCTTGTTTAAGTCAACGGTCAACAGTCAAAATCTGTAGTCCATGATTTTTATTTTAGGGTTCTTGCATTCCCGTTAATTTTAGGGTTCTTGATGGAGAATGTCTTGCCGTGGCTCGAGCCGCGCGATGTGGCAGCGCTGGCGCTTACTTGCAGGACGATGGCAGCGGCAGCAAGGGATCTCACATCGTGCCGTGCCGCGGATGCAGCGCAAGGGTTGGAAGGCTTCGCGATCCCGGTGGTGAATTGCGTGGACGAATGCCGCTACCCTTACTTCGAGTACTCGCCGGTGTCTGTTCTTGCGAGGGAGAGGAGGGCATTTGCCTTTCCGAGATCCATTTCCGAGAAGAATGCCGCTGGTTTTGATTACGGGCAGTTTGGAGGCGATGGTTGCCGCTGCATTGACTGCTGCCGAGGAGAACAAGAAGATCCAGGTATGATGAGAGAATTTCCTGGTTTCTTTCTCTTAGGGGCTGAAAGTTGTCAGGATTTCCTTCACAGGCACCGGATGATTTGACTAGCGCGATCGAACTTTTGGTAATTTTCTGTTTTCTCGTTCGTGCCTAAAGACTTTGATCCAGGATGAAGATGATGATAGCGACGAAGCACTCCCGAGCAAAAAGAAAAGGCGGCTCTCGTCCAGCTCCTGTCCCTGCGGTCGGACGATCTTCGGCGAGCGAGCATACGATTCAAACTCTCCCAGGCTCTTGAGTTTCCAAAACCAGAGAGAAGAAGAAGCTCCAACTCCCGACGATCTTCCACTGATCTACGAGTGCGGCCCTGCTTGCTCGTGCACCATCCAATGCTGCCACAGGCTCTCCCAGCGCGGCGCCTCCGCCGAGCTCAAGGTTGTGAGGCATCCAACCAAAGGCTGGAGCTTACATGCAGCGCAGGACATCAAACCGGGAGCTTTCATCTGCGAGTACGCTGGTAAGAAAGAAAAGTTCTTCCTTCTCTACTTATCGTGCTCCTTTGTCTCTTCGCGTTTGTGCAGGAGAGCTCTTGACGACCAAGGAAGCTCGGAAAAGGCACCAAACTTACGACCAATCCCCGAGAGCTACGAGCCTTTTGGTGGTGAGAGAACATCTTCCAAAGGGCGACGCATGCCTCCGATTCAACATCGATGCCACCAACGTAGGCAACATTGCCAGGTTCATCAATCACTCCTGCGACGGTGGCAATCTCCTCTCGTGCCTCGTCCGCTCAGCAGGCTGCTGCGTCCCCAGGCTGGCTTTCTTCACGCGCAAAGAGATCCAGTCAGGCCAAGAACTTACTTTCAGCTATGGTGTCGTCGAACCGGGACTAGAATCGAGTTCGAGGGCCTGTTTTTGTGGAACAAGCCAGTGCCGAGGAATCCTGCCTTCTGAAAAAACATGAGCCTTTCTAGACATGGATCTTCTTTCGGGTATATATTGTCTGTAACTGTAAGAAACAAAAATGGTGTTTTGGTTACCTCTGCTTCGAGTGAACTTTGTCTTTGTGTTTCAACGGAAAGAGAACCTCGCCGAAGTTCCTTGCCATTCCGCTGTTGTATATATTTTCAGCTCTATCCGGATCGGATTTCCTTCTAGCACTCCAAAACCCGCAACCATTCCAGAGTGACTTCGACGTTTTGCCAGGATCTTCAGATTTACCATTAGCATCAGTGTACCATCTCGTGTAAGCTTCCCATTTGTAGACCTGTAAGTGCCAGTAAGAGCAAACGAAGAATCTAAAACACTGACCTCGTTTGTTGTGGTGTTCCTGGCTATCAAGTACAAGTGATAGACCAGAAAAGACGCCAGTAGAATGGAGACAACGAACAAGAACATGAGCAGGAGCACTTGATGATTGTAGAACGTTATCACCCACTGGCGTCAAACAAAACATCAGAAAACATTAAATTCGGCGATACAAACTTTCATACCTGCACAAGATGTGGCAGCTTGTCATAGAAAGTGACCATTCCATAAACTGTAAAAACGACTACTAGTCAAGCAGTTGAAGACCTGAAACTCACATGATAGCCTTTCCATGACTCCATATCTCATGACCTCTCCGGCAAGTATGGCTACCAACAGGCTGACTCCGTAGCAGCAGAGTATAGAGTGCCTGACAAGAAAAGAAGCTAAGTTTTCAGTGATTTTGCTAGAATAATCCGGCCTACCAGATCAAAAAGAATACGAAGTATCTGAGATTGTTGGCGCCGATGCAAGTGTTCTGCAACAAGTTGAGGTAAGACGCTATGTTCGACCACAAACAACAGAACAAGAAAGCTCGTCTTCACACAAACATGATGCAGGACTGACCATCCATCCACAGTGGTGATCAAAACGGGCAATGCAGCGGTTACAAATGCTGCAGTGTTTTGATCTTGCTGGTCTGCAAACGTAGGTACATGTTAGATTGACTTCACAAGAAAGAAATCCGGCTCCCTCACCGTGGAATGTTGCACGTTGGACAGATCTTCTCCGTGTAAATGATGCCATCAAAAGGATAGATGTCTTCGTGCGTAGCCAAGTTCGAAGCAGTGATTGTTCCAGGATCAGAAAAACTAGCTAGCAAAAAGATGGCGATGCCCACTAAAACTGCCGAGGGTCCCAAAAATCTGATCGCAAAAATAACTTGAGAATGGTCACGAAAGAAGGGCTGCCATACCTGTGTATCGAGGAAAGAAATCTCCCGGGAATGTACTTGAACGAAGTGGAGTAGAAGACAGAGAAACCTCCAACGATAAGAGACAAGTAAAAGAGCTACGCACAAGAAAGACCGATCAATCGTAGCAAAAACTTATCGATCGAGAGAGAACAAACCTGCAAAATTGGATTTGGCCGCTCGCAGCAAATATGTTCTACAAATTCGTAGCCTCGGACACCTCTAGATCCGAGACAGAGCCGGAGAATTTCCCTGAAATGCGAGGAGTTAGCCATTCTAGAACCTAAATCATACTTACTGGACGCAGTCGCAGGCTCCTCCTCCGATCCAAGAATGCAGCGCACGAACAGGCGTGCGATCGAACACCGGCCAGTTGCCACACAGCAGCGCCACCAGCACGAACAGGAGAAACCCTAGATAGACGAGGAGGAGCCATTCCTCGAGGAGAATATCCACGAGCTCCATTCAAAACTCAAGCTTGAATAGTAGAAACATTATGGTCATGGGCCATGCATGCCCATGCCTGACCGGCATGGTAATCCGCCGCGATGCACATCCATGACCAATGGGCTACATCCATGGCAAGAGCCCTAATTCTCTTGCCAGCGCCGCGATGCCGCCTCCTCTCGCGAGCGTCGCTGAGGAAGGGGGGCAAATTCATCGTCACGACGGACAAGCGAGTGATCAATGTAAGCGAGCTCGGCGCTCTTCTAGCTGCGACAGGTAGAGATTCCTCTCTTTCTCCAGGATTTCGACGCGATCGTCGAAATGTAGGTCAGAATTGCCACCAGTTTCCACAGATTGCCGGCGATGGACGCGTCTCCAGGGTTGACGATGCGAAGCTCCAGAGGGCTCTGGATTTCAGCGACATCGCGGTGGCGATCTACGTCAAGGGCCGATCAATCCCTGGCGGTGATTATATGGAAAGGACGTGGAGCGAAGCTAGGGAAGGAGTTTGGGACCGTCTAAACTCCGACAAAGCTCCCAAGTGCTTGGTAGCGTTTGGTCGTGCGGTGTCTGATAAAACACTGGCTGGATCCATCCACGACTTGGCGGTAAGTTCATCCCTTTCCCTGGCTGATTTCTTTGTTCCAGTTTTCTTTTTTCGACTTCCTCATTTTTTTCGCTCTTTGTCGCGATCACTTCCTCGACTTTGAGAATGCGACCTTTCCTTGTTGGTGTTCACGTACTGGGTATGTACTCATTTTGGCTGATTTGTTTGCTATACTTTCGTTCTAGTGTTTTTTTCTTCTCGACTTCCTCATCTTTCTTTCCTTTCGCTCTTCGCCGTGATCACTTCCTCGACTTTGAGAATTTGAGAATGCGATCTTTCCTTATTGGTTCACAAGTGCTCTTATAGGTTGCTCCTTCGATGCAAAGGCAAGGGCTTGGGCGTCATGTTTTGCAGCGGCTAGCACGGTAGAGTGTTTTTCTATTAAGATTATTTTGTTCTAAACTCGAGGCTTCTTTTTCCTTTGTCGTCTTCCACAGTTATATGTACTACACACTGGACATTGCAGACATCTCAGTGCTCACTCGACCTGAAAACATGTAAGGCCTCTTTTGTTTTGTTATTCCTTCGTGGGAAAAGCCTGCTACTCGTCCCTGTCCAATTGTGATATGGATCTCGAAATTGCTAGCTGCTGCTTACCTCTTCCTCCTGCAGGCCTTTCTTCGCAAGTTGTGGCTTCAAGCCAGACGCGCTGTGCTCCACCTCTATGCTGTACACAAAGACGCCACCCGTGAACTCCAAAACTTACCATGAAGCTACCCGTGCGGGGAAAATGACCCTGCTCGTTCCAGCTCCTTCTGTCAAGGCAAGCTTTACCGCGTTCTAAATCATTCTCTCGAGCTAAAGTTCGATCGGCCGATGCTCTCTCGCCGAGATTGTTGATACTCTTTCAAGTTTTTCCAGGACTCGCAGACACTTCGAAGTTTTACTGCCAGCCTGAAGAGATGAGATGGAAAAAAATAAAGTGTAATACAAGGACCGATTAAAGGTATATATGGAATCTCTATCGCTGTAGCTAAAGAACGAGTAGCTAACTTTCGAGAGGGCGGCCCACCAAAGACGCACGCCGGGTTGCTTTCCCTGGCGGGGCCTATATGACGGTTTGGACCACATGGTCTGGCACATGATGACTTGTGGCCCATGGCTCAAATGACGTGCGTGAGTTCGATACCCGAGAGTGACAAGACAGCTACGTACTTATAATCTGATAATCTGGGGAAAGAAAGAAAGCTGGGCCACTCTGTTGGGCCCCATGGGCCAGAAACAACTGAAAGGTACGGCAGTTTTCTAGTGGGCGCGCGAATCTTTGTTTTAGTAGGGAAGGGAATATTCACCACATAGAAGAAAGTGAGCGGAGTGAATAGGTCTTGTCGCGTTTTATTCTCTCTTCTCTCTTTGCTTTTGTCAATGGCGCGGCTGGCACGGCTGGAGACGAAGCTGAAATTTCCGTCCCTTCGCTCGCGAAATCCTTGAGAGTGCCGGGCGAGTAGCGGAAATCTGCGAGGTTCTTGGTCCATGGAGGTGGAATTGGGAGGTGATGACGAGGAGAGCAGTAGTTCTTGGACGCCCCGAGGCATTTCGAGGTAGATGTGTTCTTGCGAGGTAGCATGAGCGTTCTGGCTGAGAATCTTATGGGGATCGAGCGCTCTTGCTGAGAATCTCGCGATCTGGCATGGGGATCGGGTCTCTCTGCTGAGAATCTGGCGAAATAACATGGGGATCGGACGGTCGGGCTGAGAATCTCTGCGATTCAACCGGTTTCAAGTGTTCTTGCAGGGAAATCTCATTCATGGGACCTTTGTGATGCCGAGGGTCAAAGACGCCGCCGACAGGCGAATCCAGCGACCTTCCATCCAGCGCCAAGCGAGATCTCTTCACGGCGGCAATGCAGGAATCGCTGTAAACCCCGTGGAAGGTAACATATTCCTTCGCAATCTCTAGAACTTGGGCCGAAATATTTTTTATTCTAGGTGCTATGAAGATCGTTCCTCAAAATCCCAAGCGACCGATCATGGATCACGCATCCGACGAGGAGGATGCCATCGACGACGATCCAGGCGCGGGGCAGCAGCATCACATCGAGAAGAAGAGGCGGCTGAGCGTGGATCAAGTGAAGTCCCTGGAGAGGCACTTTGAGCAGGACAACAAGCTGGAGCCGGAGCGCAAGCTCCAGCTTGCCAAAGAATTGAGCCTCCAGCCCCGCCAAGTCGCTGTGTGGTTCCAAAACAGGCGGGCCAGGTGGAAGACCAAGCAGCTTGAAAAGGACTACGACGCGCTCAAGGAAAATCTGGACGCTCTCCGCGGCGACTACAAATCTCTGTTGAAAGAGAAGCAAGAGCTCGAGGCCGAGGTATGTCAGATATTTTTTCTTTTCGTCCTTTCCTTTGCCTTTTGATTTTCATCTCGGGATTCCTCCTCCAGGTGAATCGGCTTAACGATCTACTCTCGTCCAAGCAAGAGGAGACGAAAGTGGTGGACGTGGGTGATGGTCACAGCAACAAAACAAAGGAGAGTGAGGGCAATTCCGCAATCACGGTGACTGCCACTACTACTATTACTACTCCGACGATTGCCACCCGAAAGGATTGCTCGATCAACTCGTGGGATAGCGACGGCGGCAGTGAGATTGTGGACGATGATCCGGCAATCACTCCTCGTCCGGATCAGAGCGAGAGCGGCCGTTTCTCGTTACACGACGACGAGGATCGCGTCCTCATGAATCCGTTGGAGTGTCACATTGCCGCAAACTTCGACGACACATACACGAATTCGATGGTTTACTCGTCGTCCCCGCCGCCACCTCCTCCCCCCGACGATCGGATGATCCCCAAGCTCGAGGACACGGGATACGACAGTGCTACTGCTGGGGGATTCTTTGATTTGGATGATCAAGGCTCGCTTTCGTGGTGGGATTGGTCTTGACGAGGAGAAATCGGGGATGGATGGATGGAGATGGGTAAAATTGAGAGTTCAAAGGTACAGTGTATTTTTCTAAGTTTTGGTTGATCAAACTTTAGTATAAGCTAGGTAGAGAGAGAGAGGGAAAAAATATCAGGGCCGATGTCAAATGGCTCGGACCATGGAAAATGTACACAAAGATGAAACAAAGCAATAAAAGTTCTATAGGCCACTGTTAACCTTTTTTAAGGATATATTCCCTGTACAACTTTATTGAAATTCAAGAAGAAAAGTGTTTACTCCATCTCCTTAAATTGTGAAAGGCTAAAGTTTGAGTTATAACACAAGATTATAAGGTCTGGCTAACCTCCAGATTTGCATTTCCTTTTCTCTTTCCCTGTTCTTCCACATTGCTCCTCATCTTCGTCGTCTCACGCGCCTGAAGCGATCGAAATCGCCCATATGCGCTGCGTGGATGAGGCTGAGCATAAGAAAGTCAGGTATGGAGTGCTTGTCCTCTCGACTAAGCTTGTTCTTCTCCATAACCTGGGGAAAACGCAAACCGCAGAGAAGAAGAATCACAAAAAAGAAGGATTTTCACGTACCTTATGAGCGTTCTTTGGAAGCGGCTGGATCGCTGGAGCCGTGGGAGCCCAGATCTTGACACTGTCGTCCATGCCGCTGGTGGCAAGAACGGTGACGCTGGGATGCGGCTCCAGACAATTGACGACCTGGCGATCGCCCTCCATCATCGCGACGAGCTCCGCGCCTCGCTTCTTCCAGATGAAGATGTTGCCACAGTCGGAGCCACTGACCACGTACTCGCAGTTTGGACCGAAAAAGTTGACGCCCTTGACGGTCTGCGCGTTCCTGTGGCCCTTGTAAACCTCGTACTCTTTCTTCTCGTTCTCCTCGTTTTGATCTCCTTTGTCTCTTGCTTTTCCTTCGCGGTTGCCTTCCTCTTTGTTCTCTTCTTTGCTAACGTTACGCTTGCCTTCTTCTGCCTCGTTGGTGGCTTTGCCGCCTCCTTCGGCTTTGTTTGGAAACCGTGTGGCTGCTGCTGCTTCTTCCTTGGTGCTGGAAGAAGCGCTGGGACTTGGCGGAGAAGGGCCGAGTCCTCCACCTTTGTCAAAGAGATAGATGAGCTCGTCGTTGTAGGAGATGAGGAGCTCCTCTTGCTGGGAGTACGCGACGCATGTAATGTGGACGTGCTGCTTGGTGCCGATGAGGTGCTTTGGAGCGAAGACGTCGACGGGGGAATCCACTTCGCCGCTGGAGCTGACCTTGCGGATGTCGTAGACTCGAGCAAACTCGTCGGATCCTCCCACGGCGAAATAGTTTGGGTTGCGCGGGTTGATGACAATGGCGTTGAGGTAGATCACGGGACGCCCCTTGCAAGTGACGATCTTCATGTTGCTGCCCTCTCGCAAATCGAACTGCAAGAGCCAAAATAAAAAGACAACTTTTCGAATGAAAACACCCCGAAAGGAAGAGAAAGAACGTTGGCTTACTTGACGAACATCGCCATCTTCTCCACAGCTAAAAAATGTTCTCGGGCTTCCAGGCTCGATGGCAAGCTTGTGAGCTCGCCCTCGGTGCTGTGCCAGCTTCTTTGTGCTAACACAACCATTCTCAGGGATTACAGCATGCCTGACCTGTGAATGTAAAAGAGAAGAAAAAAAAAACAGAAGAAAAGAGCTTGGAAGCAAAGAACTTGAGAAGAATGTCACGTACTTGGCCATCGGCAGCACAGGTCACAACGCTTCGATCGTTGGAGAAAGGCATGATCCTGGCCTGGAACACATTGTTGTCATGGCCAGAGTTAAAAGAGAGTTTTTTGGAGCGAGCAGCCCAGTCCCAAAACACAATCTCTTTGTCGTCGGATCCAGAGACGAGAATGTCTCCGCTGGGATTAAAATGCACAGTGTTGACGCATCCATCGTGGCCAGAGAGCTCAGCGTAGCGCTCCAAACGCTGGATTAAATCCTGGAGAGGAGGAAGAAGGGAGGATTGGTTTCTGGCAATGAACCTAGAAATCGATATGGAGAGGGAGATAAACCTTGCAACCGCCAATGTTTAAGGAGAATGCTCGCGGATGTATATTGCCAATCTGCCGCTCCCATAGCTTGCCCAATTCAGAGCACTGTTTCATCTTCTCATCGAGAAAAGACCTAATGGCATCATCTACAAAGATCACCCATCGTTAATAAATTATGTGTATCACGTCACCATTATTGTTATAATTAGCTATGTTGCCTAGTCAGTAAAATATTATTTTGATTGTCATAATTTTGTTATATTAAAAATTAAATTGAAATAGTATTAAAACAATAAATATTGTATTTCACTTTGAAAGAAGAATTGAGGGAATTATGTAACAAATGCTAGGTGAATATAAAAATCAATTCTTGTAAACTTGGATAATATAAATATCTAGAACAAAACATATTCCTAGGCATAAGTAAGAATAAATATTCATTAATAAAATATTAGATATATGAATGCTTGGAATATGGAAAGAGAATACAGAAAATGTGCATATTAATTAACCCAAAAACCCTAATTTATATACAGGAGCAAGTGGTCCAAATTGAAACTAATTTAACAACTATCAAAATCCCACTACACTAATATTAGTATACGGCATCAGAGCCATACACTTAGCCCTCACATCATCCCTCCTCTCAAAATAATGGAAAACCATTAGGGTTCTCTTGTAGTCGAGCCGAGATCTAGAGGAATATTAGGAGGAGGCATCGGCAGATTTATAGGTGGTATTAATTGCTCCTGATCCCTTTGTATGAAGCGTTTCAATCGTTGCACATGCACAATCTTTGGAGGATTGGCCTATTAAACATCATGCCGAACCTCATAAATTTGTGGTCCAACTTGCTACAACACTTGATTCGGTCCTTTCCACTGCACAAGGAGCCCTTTAAATAAACCACGTATGTAAGATGGGGAAAACGGACTAACACCAAATCATCCACTTTGTACTCTGTAGGTGAACGATGATAAAAGTTATAGCGCCGTTGTTGTCCTACTTGTATGCAGCCTAAGTGTTCGGTAGACTCTGCTCAGATAAATGGAAGAATGCTCATCAAAT